GATTGATTGATTGATTGATTGACTGACTGGAAGATGAGCAGAGCTCGCTCCCAGCCAGATCTGAGTGTGTGTCCTCTACTTCCATCCTCTCTCCTGGTGCCTGGTCTTGGATAGGGTAATGCTGTTCAACATTCATTCAACAAACGCTCACTGGGCACTCACTGTGTCAGGCCATGGCCAGCCTGTAGGGATACGTTAAGGATGGGGGACGACACCATTCAGACCCTGCCCTCAAGGTGCTGACAGATGCAGAAACGGTGACGGTATGATGTGTGAGGTGCTGAGGCAAGTTCTATCAGGGCTTGTGAGGGCTCAGGGGAGGTGTGGCCGGCTCTGTGAGGGGGTCGGGAGGACTCCCTGGGGAAGGGTGTTTGAGCAGGACTTGAAGGGCGAGTGAAGTCACCCAGGCAGATATGGCCTGAATGGGGTGGGCGTGGGCATTTTCTGCAGAAAAGCCAGTGCTGTTAGCGGAAGGGGGAGGGGTCAGAGCTGGGAACAGCATGTCCACAAGCCCTCGAGGAGTTGCAAACAGTCAAGAGGCCTCCCCACAGGACGCACACGGAGGGGGGCCTGGAGGCAAGGCCATGGCCGCTCCGGCCTCCAACACCAGGCGAAGGGCACGGGCGCTGGCCTCTGGCATTCTGCTCTCCCCGCCTGGGCCTAGGAGCACCACACCCGGCCCCACAGGGACCAAACCCACACCTGCCATGGCGGCAGGAGCCTGCGGCTGCTGAGGGGGTTCCATGCTGCACGAGCAGCCAGAAGAGGGTCAGGCTGCTCCGGTCAGGAAGACGGAGGCTGCTGGGCCTCCTGCCCCCTCCCCCAGCGCATGTCAAATCCAGAATGTTCTTGAGGAAGTGGAGTAAGTACGGGCTTGCCACCCCACCGCCTTGCTGTGCCCCTCAGTGTGGGCTGTCAGGAGGGTGGGAGGAGCAGGCGGCGGGCAGGAGCTGGGCATGACTGCTCCGAGAAGCCGCGGTGTGACACCCTGCCCCCAGCCTGCCTCCCCGCTCCCAGGGACCGAGGCCTCACTCAGTAAATACAAGTTCATTAATAGCCTGATTAATCACACCTCATATTTTCATGGTGCCTTTAAAAATAAAACATTCGAAAGCACTTTCACACCCACCCTGGGCCTCAGCTACACGGGCAGGTCTTACCATCCCAGGCTGCAGGTGAGAAAGGGGGCTCAGCCTCGGAGCAGTGGCACGCTGGGGTGTGGCAGGGCAGCCTCGCATGCAGATCCCTCTCCCTGCCCCTGACTCTGCCTGTGGGCAGCTCTGCACCCCTCTGTAGGGGCCTCCCTACAGAACAAGAGTAAAAGGACCACTCGTAGGCAGAGCTTCTGGAGTTCAAGGGAGAAGCAGCGGTGGTCATGCAGTCACTCAGCAAACACGCCATCCGTCTCCAGGCCGGACCTGGGCTCCCTCCCTGCGTGGAGGCAGTGTGCAAATACGTCCATCCTAGTCCTGAACGGGGTGTGCTTCCTGCAGGGAGGTTGCGGGGACAGGGTGGGCACTTGGGCAGGTAACAGAGTGTAGGTCCAGGAAAGCCTCCTGGAGGAGGTGACACATTTGCTGAAACTTGAAGGCAAGTAGGAGTTCCCAGATGTATCAGGTGAGGCAGGCCCACATGGTCCACTCCACTGGTCTCTTACCCTCTCTCTTGGCCCCCAGCCTCCCTACACATAGACACACACACACACACACACACACGTGGTCTTCCCTCGGCCAGCAATGGATCCCAGGATCCTGGCTAGGACCGTTGTTCCCACCCTGAATAGAGCAGCCGGAGCAGGGGTGCCAGTGCCGTCCTGAGCCAGGTGGGGGCCACAGACTAGCCCTGGGGCTCACTAGAAGTGGGGTTCCCCCTTCAGGGCCTGAGCCATCCGCACAGCCCCGTCTGCAATTCCTGGCGACCAAGAGCCCATCAGGACGCTAGTGAGTGAAGGAGATCTTCCATCGGAAATCCGGGGGCCGCGGGGCCACATGCGTGAGGGCGGGAAAGCCGTGGCCGGTGTGGTGGCCGGAGCCTCTGGAGAGCGGGGTGGGACTCGGGAAGCAGCAGGGCCTGAAGAGCCAGCGGGCTCTGCACCTGCCCCCCTGCAGCCCCGTGCACCTGCCCTGGCAGAGCATTTCTTCCACATTTGTCGAAAGGAACGGTGACAGGCACCCCACTCCAAGTCTCCAGTCTCTAACGTGGCCCAGGCAGCCTTGAGTTGGGTGGCAAGGCCAGGGTTGGACGTGTGGTGGGGGGATGGGGGCCTCAGCCACTCGCTTGCTTCTCCCGTGGTGGGAGCTACTGGAGACAGGGCAGAGAGGGCTGGGCAGGATGTGTGGTTTCCTGGGCGAGCGAGGTGGGGACCCCTCTCTCCAGAGCAGTGACCATGGAGTTGGGCCCTGAGGAGAAGGCAGGAAGGAGCTGGTAGAGGAGGAAGGAGGGGCGTGGCAGACGGAGACCACGGCAGAGACCTGGAGGCCATGCCTGGAAGGGATCAGTGGTGTTCCTGCACAGGAGATGTGACTGAGCCGCGACAGAAGGCTCAGAGATACAGCCAAAGGCCCTGGCACCATTCTGAAATGCCCACGGAAGCCAAGCAGATGACAGGCACAGAAGCAAGGCCAGGGCGGGACAACAGAGAGCGGCGGGGACTGAGGAGAACGGGAGCGTTTGCCCTGTTGAAAGGATCACAGGTCGCTTGGCAGTGAGCACGCACTGCTGGTGTGGTCTCTGACAGACAAGCACAGGATTCCTGTCAAAGACAAGTACCCTAGTGGCCTGCACCGTGGAGGGGAGAGACCTCAGGTTCACACTGGGCCTTCCTTCAGACGAGGGGCCTAAGCGGACAGGAAGGCGGCAGGCAGGCGGCAGGTGCTGACCACAAGGGTGAAGGTCACATAGAGGGCTCAGGGGCCAGCGGGGAAGGCAGTTCTGCCCCCCAAGCAGCTTCGGTAGCCCCTAGAGGTCACCCAGTGGGGCCTGAATTCACCCCCACCCATGGCGGTGGAGTGTCCTTGCCGGAGGGCATAGCTGTAACCTAGAGGTGCCCCTTGGGTTCCACCCAATAAAAGTCCCCCCACCGGGGTGGGGAGGGGCGGTCACACCAGTGTGGCATGACGGAGGCCCCGGAGAAGTGAGCTATGTCCCTTATTGGTCACAGTACATTTATTTTTCATTAGCAGTTAAATGTAGACATGAGGGATTGTGCTGGGTTCAGCAGGCGGCTGACGTGAGCAGTGCTTGGCGCCGTGATCGATAGGGAGGCCGGAGGGCCACGCACCCACTCCCCACCCACACCCCCGGCCAGGACCCCTGCCCACCCACCCCCAGCCGGTGGACAGCACAGGCCATCGCGTTGAGTCTCTGCAAGGTGAGGTCCCCGGCAGGCCCTGCCCCTGGGGGCTCCCACCCGCTCTAGAGCCTGTGGCCCCTGTCCCTGCGCCCCCTGCAGGCCCTGCGTGGGATGGGCTGAGACCCTGAGGCTTCCCCAGTAAATGCCAGAGAGGCCCCACTCCCAATCCGTGTCAGAAGCTCGCCATCCAATGCATTCTCCAGGCCGTGCAGCCGGAGCCGGATGCAGCCTACCCTGGCTGAGCTGCTGCCTGGGTCAGGGACTTGCAAGTGGCTACCGAGTGACAGTGAAAAGCAAACGTAATAACAGCAGGGGCACGAGGCTGCTCCAAGGCAGTTTTTGAGTCCAGGGCCTCAGAGTCCTTACCTATTTATAAGCTATCTAAACGACTTCTCCTCTCCGCCTGCATCTCCACCGCCCCCATCTTGAGGGCAAGGCGCCTGCCAGCTCTTGCCTCAGTTTCCTCATCAGCACCCACCCCCGAAGAGCTTGCTGTGAGGGTTCCTGAGCTGAGGGAGATGAACTTGGCCATCACCCGTGCAAAACCCCTGGGCATTGGCAGCAGCCCAATTGCATCCTCAGAACCTAAGGATTGGGCCCACTCTCCCTGTCCTTCAGGTGAGGAAAGAGGCTGGAGGGTTGGGGCTTTCCTGAAGTCACCCCAGATTTCTCAGCCCCTCGGCAGGCATTCCCAGCTCACCCGCCTGGCCCAGGACACCTGTAGGACCGAGCGCAGATCCCCTCCCCCAAATCGCAGTCCTGGAGGGAGGGCCCACTCCCACCTTAGAAAGAGAGGGTCCCTGTGCGGGCAGGAGGCCCCGGGCGGTGTGCTTAGGCTGCCTGTGGGAGGGCAGGGGAGCCCGGAGGCTGACCTGGTGAGGCTCCCGGCTCCACCACGGGCAGACTGGCCTCCGTCGCACAGATGGCGAAACGGCAACTCGCCCAAGGTCACCACAGCAGACAGCAGGATCGGCAGAGGCCCATGTGGGCTGAGTGCGTGCTGGTGGGGACACTGCTGCAGCCCTGAGGGCGCCCGACCGGCAGGGGGGTGTGTGGAGGCTGAGGGTGCCCTCACTCCCTCCTCCCACTCCCCCGGCCCCCGCCCCCTCCGGGCTCTTGCTGGCTTAGCAGCCTGTCACACTGCTGTGGGGTTACCTCTGCCAAAGCCTCAGAGCCAATTACCTGTGTAATTAGCAACAAATGACTTGTGGGATGGTTGTGGTTTTCAGTTAAAATTAGAAGAAAACCCGTATGCAGGTCTCCTTGAAGGATGGGACGTGGCCCCTCCGGCTCCCAGACACGCTCTCCTGGTTCCCGTCCTGTCCCGGGCCACCCCCACCCCAGGGCAGTGGCTGCCTCGCCAGATCCCAGAACTCCTACCAGCGTGGAAACAAGCCCGACTACTGTCACCCTGTCTCATTCTTTTTCTCCACCGTCTTCAGCCGGGGTGGGTGGCTGCTCTTCTCCCAGGTTACAGAGGGGACACTGAGGCAGGCGGGGGCACTGAGCATCAGCCTGCCTTCCTCCTCCCTCAGCCCCAGCAGCCGGCTTCCCACGCCTGGCTCTGCCCCTGAATGGGCAGGGAACACCGGAGGGCCCCGAAAGGCCCGCGGAGGCCTGGCTCACCTTCCACCTTTGCCCTGCTCAGGTGCCCAGCAGAATGCCACGGTGGCCAACCCGGTGCCCGGCGCCAACCCAGAACTGCTCCCCAACTTCCTGGTGGAGCCTGAGGACGTGTACATCGTCAAGAACAAGCCGGTGCTGCTGGTGTGCAAGGCCGTGCCGGCCACGCAGATCTTCTTCAAGTGCAACGGGGAGTGGGTGCGCCAGGTGGACCACGTGATCGAGCGCAGCATGGAGGGGAGCAGCGGTGAGGCGGGAGGGGCGGCGGGCGGGCGGGCCCCGGGAAGGGGGGCCCCCGCTGCAGCCTGCGAGCAGGAGGCCAGGATGTACACGGGACTCCACGCCGAGGGCTTCTGCACGTACACCGGTGCCCGTCCTGGGAGGTCCCCACCGGACCGCACAGCCTGGTGGAGGGTAACAGGGAAGACCCTGAAAACACCCTGGAGCCGTGGAGGAGTGGGTCCCCCCGCTGTGTAAGCCCAGGCACTGCCTGGGTAGCTGTGCCAGCAAAGAACAGGGGTTTGGAGGGGGTGGGTCGCAAATTATTGAAGAACTCGGGGGCCCAACACCTGGTTATTTAGCACCCTTGCTTCCTCCAGTCCTCGGGTGTGTCCTGAGCACCGCTCTGTGCCGGCCTGGTTACTTAATGTTTGCCTTGGTTCGTTTATTCATCCTCTGAGCACTCTCTCTGTGCTGGGGACGCAGCCCGCAGGGAGGGGGCAGCATGGGGACCTCGCAGCGAGGCCGCGGCTGTGGCAGCCAGAGGAGAGCAGGACTGAGGCGGCCTGGGGCGGTGACATGGAAAAGGAGGGGATAGAGCTGGTCAGGGAGAGAACAGGGAAGGGCGTCCCAGCACACAAAGGCTTGGAGGCAGTGGGCAGTGTGCAAGTCGGGGTCAGCAGGAAAAGTGGGGTTGTGCACAGGGGGCAGCGGTGTCATCCGGTAGCCTCACCCATTGGGTGCTGGCAGGTCACAGTCCCATGGGATTTCCAGCTGCCATTAACGTGGACAGAGCTATGGGCGACACGTGGGGGCCAGTGCGGTGGGGGGGGGGGGGAGGCTGAAGTGAGGGGCAGATCCAGAGATGCTGAGGAGAGAGCCAGGGAACTTGGCTGAGCCGTGGAGAGAGGGGGTCCAGGCCGGAAGCAGGCCGGAGAAGTGCCCCTCTGTAGGAGACCTCACACCCTGCTTCCAGCCTGGCCTTCGGTTGCTGGTGGGCAATGAGCAGGCCGGCGGGGCTGACCACAGCCTCTCCTGCTCACTCACCTCCCCCAGGGCAGCTCCTCTCCCCTCCCTTTGGGGCGGTGCTTTGTGGTGCGCTCAGGCTGAGTCCTCCTTACCTCAGGGGCCTGAGCCACTCTGAGACAGCACACACTCCCTGTGGGGTACGGCCACGTGTGAGGTCAGAGTGGCAGAGCAGCTGGGGGAAGGAGGCTGTGCCCAGGATAATTCACGCTGATGCCCAGGCAGGCAGGGGGCCGCGGGCCCATAGAAGTGACCCCCGCTCCAGGCAGGAGCCGCTGGGTGACCAGGAGGAGCACCATCCAAGCTTCATTTAGGACCCACCTGGAGCCAGCATTTCCCAGGCCAAGGACCAAGAATGGCGGGCTGGCAGTGGGGCCAGAGTGGGGCGGGAGAAGTGGGCTGTGGCTAGACTGGCACTGCGGGAAGTTGGTGCTGGGCGGAGCCAGGCCAGAGGGAGGCAATTCCTGCCCAGAGGACAGAAGGCCCTCACAGTGCTCCGCCCGGGTGTAGGCTGAGTGTGATCCAGTCCTCCCAGCCTGTCGGGTGGAGATGGGATGGAGGCCTTGGCTCTGGCTCCTGCAGGCCCCCCACAGGCCCACAGACGCACACCCCATCCTCCCAGGGTCAGCGGGGCTGGCCTTCTTCCCCGCAAGCCTCTGCACCCCCAGCCCAGCGGGTCCTGCCCAGGCCTCTGAGCCCGGCAGTGCCCCGGCCCATGGGCGCCTGCAGCGGGCAGCTTTCTTCCTTCAGTCCGGCGTTACCTGAGCACCCGCGCTGTGCCGGGCCTGGATTGGTGCTGGGACGTCGGCCTCAGGGGAGGGGATGGAGAAGGTCTGTGATCTCTGTGGCCCGAGAGCCCCTGGCGCCGTCAGCACCGCCCAGAGCCAGAGCCAGGGCCTCGGCTCACGGTCCCCGCAGTGGTGCCAGAACCCTCCTGCCCACATTGTCCCCCGGGGAGAGTCTGCCTTCCCTAGGGCACGCCCCTCTCTGAGCCTCAGTTTCCTCACCTGTAAACGGGGGTGAGGAGGGCCCCTTGCACGCTGGGGGGCAGCCATGAATCTCGCACACCCGGTCAGAGCCCGGCTTCGGGCCTTTCCTCCCCACGGCGGGCCCGGGGCCTGCGCCGCGTCTGCGTGAGTCCTCCCACTGCTGCGGCAGGGCCCCAGGGAGAGGACAGGCGAGGAGAGGAAGCCACCGCCAGAGGCCTGCCTTTCCTCGGCCTTGAGGGTCTGTCCTAGGACCCTGGAAGGCCCAGGCAGCCCCTGTGCTCCCAGCCTCCCCGCTTTGTCTCCTGCTGTCACGAGGTCTGGAATCCATGGCTTAGCTGAGACCCAGGCCCAGCACACAGGCTGAGGGCCCCCAGCCCACAGCCCCCAACTGACTCTGCTGGCCTTGCCCCTTCCAGCCAGCCAGAGCAGCAGAGCTCATGGCACAGGTCCCACCCCTCACCCCCAGGACCCTCCCCTGCCCTGAGCATCTGACCTCAGGTCTTCCATGGGCAGCACATCTGAACTGTCATTGATCTTGTTGATTTCTCAACGCAGAGCCATTGAGTGCTCTGAAGCTCACCAACTCATGCCGGGACACCCTGCAGGCCACAGAGCAGACCCTGACCCAGAACATTCTATGCTCAGGCAGGGAGGGCAGTGATCAGAGGTCAGCCCAGATCTGCAGCCACACCCATTCCCGTGTGGGGCTGAGGTGGCTGGGCGAACACCCAGGACAGGAGAGAGCACCCTGTTCCCCCCTCACTTGCCCCCCTCCCCAATTCAGGAGACCAGGGTTAGGAACCAAAGCCGGAAAGCCCTCACCCCAGCCCTGCTGATGCTGGGAAAGCCTGTAATGTTTGAAGCCAAGCGTTGGAGTCCAGTTTGGGGGTGTAATTTACTGTTACATAAACTGAACGGTTATTAGACACAGATTGGCGAGAACCTGAGCCCAAACTTGGCCTCAGAATCCCGACCCCCACCTTGCCAATCCTCTGCTTCCCATAAATACTCAGCCCACTCTCCCCCCCTCCCCCCGTCTCCCCACACTCCCCCGTCTCCCCACATGCCCCCTGCTCGCACCCCACACGCTCCTGGGCCCCGTCCCTCCCCGAGGCTGGCATCTGCTCACAGTTACCAGGCGGGTGCAGACAGACTTGCAGGGACCGGGCACAGCCCTCGCCTCCCGGACTGGTCGGGGCGAGCCTGAGTCTCCCCTTGGGCCCAGCGCCCTCCTGGAGCTGTGGGGTTGCAGGGCGCTGCCTGGAAGTGGGACACAGAGGACAAACTTGGCCTCGTCTATGGCAGCAGGAAGGAGCCGAGGAGGTGGCGGGACAGGAGTGGGAGGAGGCGGGGAGAGAAATAGGCAGGCTTAAATTTAGTGCCGTTCTCCCAGGCTGGCTTGCGGGCGGTGCGTGAGCTCCCCCACCCGCTGCGGGCTGGCGTGGCCCGCCCCTAGACCTGTCTGCCCGGAGAGAAAAACTCCCAGCTCAGAATGTTCTGGAGGTCTGCGCCCTGAGTGTGCGCATGGCTTCTACTGAGATGCTTCAAGACTTGGTGTGCCTGACAGGTGGCTGGTGTCCAGGGCGGCCCCTCACCCCCCCCTCCACACACACACACACACACACACACACCCGTACACAGACCTCTGTCCTCAGCCCTCACCACACACCCCCAGAGAACCCCCGAGAATGACCTCAGGCAGAGGCGACACCGTCCCCCAGGCTCCTGTGAGAACTAGCCAGAGGCAGGGCCAGTGATAGGACCGAGGGGGGAGCGGCGGGCTCGTGAGGAGGGTGTGGGCAGGGGTCAGGGAGACACGAGACGCGGTTAGAGAAATTAAGAGAGAAAACAGCCTCCCTGCTCAGCTGGACGGCTGCTCCTCCCCCCGCAATGCGGCCCTAATTGAATTTCTCTGTTAACAATGGAAACACATTGCTGCCCGGCCTCTCTCCCTCTTTCTGATAAGCCGCTGACCCGAGGGAAATTGGGGTCAGAAGGAGGAGAAATTGGAAGCAAACAGTCTTTTCTCACTCCTGGGACATTGGTTTTGGCCCAGCGCCAGGACGCTGAGGAGGGCTGCTGCCCCCTCTTCTGGGTCCTCAGAAGGTCTGGGCCCTCCTCGTACCCCCACTCCCTGGTGTGGCCGAGGACAGGGCTGCGTCCGTTCTAGAGAGAGGTCCTCAGCTCAGCAGGTGCAGAGCAGGCCCCGACCCCCACCCCAGGCAGCCTCCCCCTGGGGGCCACCCCTCCCCCTTGCGGACACTTCTCCCTGTGGCCGGGGTCTCCCAGCCCACCCACGGTGTCTACAGGACACCCTCAACATGCTTGGATCCCGATAGCCTTGAGCCTGTTCTGTCTGTTGCCCATCGTGGGAGCAGTGCGGTCCAGGCTGGGATGGATGGTGGGATGTGCGGGAGATAACAGCCAGCACGTGGGAATGGCTTGCTGAGCCCAGGGGTCTATTATCATACTAGGCAATGGGTGCAATTATGCTGTTAATAGCTGCTATTACGTTATCACATGTCAGGATCCACCTGCTAACCCCCAGGGAGCCCCGCCAGATACTCCCTCACCCTTTTACTCACAAGGCCCTCGGGCTGGCCAGCCTGCCACACCCCTTCTTCCCAGGGTCCTGGGAGGCCAGCCCTGCTGCCAGCGCCCTGCCAGGGGCATTTCTGTGAGTGACTCCGGAGACGGGCCCTTGGGTGATGGAGGACAAAGAACGGAAACGCTGAGAACCTGCTGCTGGCTTTCAGGGCACATACACACTGAGCTCCCGTGAGCCCCCGGGGTTCCCTCCAGGTTGAGAGTTGCCCCGCTGACCGCTCTGGCCTGGAACAGGGAGGCTCGGTGTGGCCCTGGGCCCTGGCTACCCACACCTCCCGTCCCCAGGCCTGCCCGCCATGGAGGTCCGCATCAACGTCTCAAGGCAGCAGGTGGAGAAGGTGTTCGGGCTGGAGGAGTACTGGTGCCAGTGCGTGGCCTGGAGCTCCTCGGGCACCACCAAGAGCCAGAAGGCCTACATCCGAATAGCTTGTGAGTGCAGGGCCCTGCCCTCAGGTGGGGGTGGCCCACGGGTGTCCCAGGGGAGGGGGTCCTGTCAGAAAGCCTCCGGTCCTGCCTTGATGGGAGGAAGGGCCACCCCAGAACCACGGGCCCCTTGGCGCCTCCTTCTGCCGCGTGTCACGGCTCCCGTGGGGCCGGGGGCAGCGGGCCAGGCCGCGGGCACCAGGCGCCCGGGCTGGAGGATGCTCTTGTGCTTCCAGATCTGCGCAAGAACTTCGAGCAGGAGCCGCTGGCCAAGGAGGTGTCCCTGGAGCAGGGCATCGTGCTGCCCTGCCGCCCGCCGGAGGGCATCCCCCCGGCAGAGGTGAGGGGACTGACTCCCGAGCTCGGGCCCCGCCTGCCCAGCCCCCGGCCGGCCCGGGGGCCGCTCTCACGCCTTCACGGGCCGCGGCATGGCTGCCTTCCCCAGGTGGAGTGGCTGCGGAACGAGGACCTGGTGGACCCGACCCTGGACCCCAACGTGTACATCACCCGGGAGCACAGCCTGGTGGTGCGGCAGGCGCGCCTCGCCGACACGGCCAACTACACCTGCGTGGCCAAGAACATCGTGGCCCGGCGCCGCAGCGCCTCCGCCGCCGTCATCGTCTACGGTGGGCCCCGGCCCGGCGGGGGGTCCTGGGGCGGCCCTGTGCCCCGCCCCCCGGGAGGCGGGGCCCGGCGGGCCGGGCTGCGGGCTGCCTGGGAAGGGCAGGGCCTTCCTGTGCCCATCGGGGAGCCAAAGGATGTGTCTGGGCGGAGGCAGGGTGGGCTGGGCATCTGTGGTCACACCGTCCCATGGCTGGCTTGTGGGCAGGGAGCCCTGTGAGGAGATGAGGGTTCAGAGGGAGACTAGGAAGGCGACCTGGGGCGGGAGGTAGTGTTCGGGGCGCCCCCAGGAGCAGGCAGAGGGAGGGGATGCAGGCATTGCCCCCCTGAAGGCGGAAGGCGGGGGTCTGAGCTGGAGGGGCCTGGGAGCTGCCCGTGAGGACTGGCTGCCCTGGTGTCGGCAGCGCCTGCTGGTGGAAGGAGGGCCGGTTGGCACAGTGTGGCCGCCCCTCCAGGGCTTCCCCGCCAGCCCCCTGCCCTGGCCCCCGGGCCAGCGTGTGTGAGGAAGCCCCCGCTCCCTGACCCCAGTCCTTCTCTGTCCGGCCAGTGAACGGTGGGTGGTCGACGTGGACCGAGTGGTCCGTCTGCAGCGCCAGCTGTGGGCGCGGCTGGCAGAAACGGAGCCGGAGCTGCACCAACCCGGCGCCTCTCAACGGGGGCGCCTTCTGTGAGGGGCAGAATGTCCAGAAAACAGCCTGCGCCACCCTGTGCCCAGGTACCCGCAGCTGCCGCCTCCTGCATCGCTCCCCACCTCGCCATCTCCGCGCCCTGGCTCCATCACACCCGCCAGCCTGCCCCCCATGGCTCCATCCCACCCGCCCGCCCGCACGCAGGGCCAGGCTCAGTCCGAGGCCGGGACGGGGTTCCGTGTGATGGAGGCAGGGCTCGGTCTGCGTCCGGCTCCGTCTCAGCAGAGGGTCTGAGCCCCGGAGTCTCAGGCAGTCAGGACAGGCGCAGTCAGCGGGGCAAGGGCAGGGCTCGGCCTGGGGCGCCCACACGGGCCCCTGGCGTGGGCAGAGCCAAATAGGCAGGTGTCATTGCACCTCCCATCATTAGCATGTGTCACCCAGGCCAGCTGGACACCAGAGGGCATGCAGGGGGCGCCTCTCTGGCCCTGGCCTTGCACCCGGAGCCGGAGCTGGCTCCCCAGGCTGACAGCGTCATCTCCTCCCTGTGTGTCTGTCTCCCCCAGTGGACGGCAGCTGGAGCCCGTGGAGCAAGTGGTCGGCCTGCGGGCTGGACTGCACCCACTGGCGGAGCCGCGAGTGCTCTGACCCAGCACCCCGCAACGGAGGCGAGGAGTGCCGGGGCGCCGACCTGGACACCCGGAACTGCACCAGCGACCTCTGCGTGCACAGTGAGTCCTCCTCCCCCCTGGGAGGCCCCTTCAGTTTGCCAGGACTGGCCCTGCCCAGCTCCAGGGAGGTGGTGGCTCAGGGATTTAGTCCCCGGCCACAGGCTGCACCCCCTCTCCAAAGCTCAGGACCTCAGGGATTCCCCTCACAAACAGCCACACGTGTGCCCACCACCCCCCAATACGTTCCTCGTCTCCCCCAACACATGCCTATTTTCGAGCTTTACCTGTGCACATGTCCCCTCCCCCTCTCCTGAAGCTTCGCCTCCTCCCTGTCCCCCAAGTGCACAGGCAAGCCCACTGGGGACACCGGGCCTGGGAGGCCTGTTAATTACAAGGCCATAACTAACAATTAAAGATCTCTGTTGGATTTTTTCTCTAGAACACACCCTCCCCCATTCTTTCAATTAAAAACCTAATTATCTGTGTCAATTCCTTTCTGATGGACATTTCTTCCATTATGCAAAGCCCTTCTGAAATCAATACGGCTTCCTCTGGGCAGTCAATCACCCTCCCCAGCCGTGCCCCAGGCCCGGAGAGGCAGGCGAGGAGAGAGCCCTGGCCGACCCCCCAGGGAGCAGATCCCATGCTCTGGGGGGGTGTCCCCAGGAGCTCCCCACGGCTTCAGCTGCCCTGGGCCCCAGAAGAGGGGGTTCAGTCTAGCAGCCCCATCCAAGACCGTCTGGGGAAGTTCTCTTCGGGGGGTCAGCAGCGTCCGCCTGAGTCGAGCCGATGAGGGATGTGACTTGCCGTGACACACGAGGTGGTGGCAGACGCAGGGCAGGGATGCCTGTGTGTGGACTCCCTGCTCCCGCGCCAGCGCCCGCCGCCCGATAGTGCTGATGCCCAAGGAGTGGGAACCGCTGACCTCTCCCACCCCCCCTCCCGCAGCTGCTTCTGGGCCAGAGGACGTGGCCCTCTACGTGGGCCTCGTCGCCGTGGCCGTGTGTCTCCTCCTGCTGTTGCTCGTCCTCGTCCTCGTGTATTGCCGTAAGAAGGAAGGGCTGGACTCCGACGTGGCCGACTCCTCCATCCTCACCTCCGGCTTCCAGCCCGTCAGCATCAAGCCCAGCAAAGCAGGTGTGGTGCCTCTGCCCCCAGCCCCCGCCCCGGCCACCGGGCTGGGCCGCCCTCGGTGCCACTCCCTGAGTCTACCTTTATCCTGCAGACAATCCCCACCTGCTCACCATCCAGCCGGACCTCAGCACCACCACCACCACCTACCAGGGCAGCCTGTGTCCCCGGCAGGACGGGCCCAGCCCCAAGTTCCAGCTGACCAACGGGCACCTGCTCAGCCCGCTGAGTGGCGGCCGCCACACGCTGCACCACAGCTCGCCCACCTCAGAGGCCGAGGACTTTGTCTCCCGCCTGTCCACCCAGACCTACTTCCGCTCCCTGCCGCGAGGCATCAGCAACATGGCCTACGGGACCTTCAACTTCCTCGGGGGCCGGCTGATGATCCCTCAGACAGGTGGGAAGGGCCCCGATGTGCTGGGGAGCTCTGAGAGGCAAGACTGGCTTCCGTGTCCCTCCTGTGCCTTCCCAGCCTCGCCCCGAATGCGGAGCTAGGCCAACCAGGAAAGGAGGTTGGGTCTGGGAGACAGCCCAGTTGTGGCTGACAGTGGGGCTGGCACTGAGGCCGTGGCCAGAGCTGTCTCCCTTCAGTGGCCTTGATGGGAGGAAAAGCCACCCATAACTACTGGGCCCTTGGCACCTCCTTCTGCCATAGGACTTCTTTCCCTTCGTGTACACAGCCCGTTGACATGTGCCAGCTCCAGGAGGGCCTTGGGCACTGAGGTGGGACAGGTGAAGGAATAGCAGAAGACAAGCGCCTAGACGGGGGCCTCCCTCACCCACACCTCACAGAACCCCTCTGCCAGGGTCTCTGAGACACCTCAATAAAAAAAACCCACAGACCTCCATGGGCAGCTTTCAAAGGAGCTGCATACCTCTGATGTGGTTGGCCACTCCCACCCTGAAACTCTCTCTTCCCTCGGCTTAGCTGACCTCACGTAGCCCTGGGTTTCTGGTCCCTTTTCAGCAGCTCCGGGTGCCTGTTCCCGAACGTAGGTGTTCTCCAGAGCTCCCTCCTGGCACCCGCTCCCACTCCATGGCTCTGATCGCCGTGTCTGTGCGAGATCACGCCCACTCCGAATTCCCAGCCACAGTTCTCCCGGGTGACAGGATCCTACGCCCAGCTGCCTGCTGGGCAGCTCCATCTGGAAGTCTCACATTCCTCATGGCCAAAACAGCACCGTCTCCCACCCTCCCCCACAGCCTCCTGCTCCCGGCTTTCCCCGCCTCGGGGACGGCACCGTCGAGTCAGACACTGGAGGTCACCTTGACCTCCTGCTCTTCTTCCCTTGCACCCTCATCTCTACACCAGCTTCCGTCATACACCCATCTCATCATTCTTCCTCCCCACGTGTCCCCGCACCCACTGCTCCTGTCTTCCCGCCACCTCTCCTGGCCCTGACCACCACGCCTGCCTGCCATCGGGTCACAGCTCCAGGCATTCGCCCGTTGCAGCCACACTCGCCATGTCCCCCTCCTTGCCAGGGCTTCCCAGTGCCCTCTGCAAAGCCCACGTGACAAGGCCACAGTGGCCCCTTCCCTGCTGGCCAACTGTGGTGGCCTCTTTCCTCCCGAGGAAGCTTCTGCACATGGCGGCCCCGGCGGGCTCCCAGCACCCCAAGCACACACGACCCCTCCCCCCTACCCCCAGGTTTGGCCTGGCAGCTCTCCCTCTCTGTGCCTCATGTCTCTGCCATAGGGACGAGGTGAGATGGTCCGTGCCAAGCTCTTAGGAAGGGGCAGGCAGGCACACTTGGGTGTTCAGTGACCATTGTGGGGTGTCTGCCCCCGCGCCCAGGACTCTGTGCCATCCATCTTGTTCACCCCACTGGGCTGGGTGCTTCTTGAGAGCAGGGCTCGTGGTTTTGCCTCACCTTCCTGAGTACCTGTCCTAGCAATGCCGGTGTGTTCACACTCAGCCTCTGGGACTGCCCCGGCCCCGGGAGCCGGTCTCAGGAGGCAGTGGGGGTCGGTGAAGGGAGCAGTAGCTGAAAGAACTCCATCCCCGGCTCCCTCTCCTGGGCCTCCGTCCCTGGGAAACGGTGACGGTCCAGCCGGCTCAGCCAGCCACCTGCTTTGGAGAGCATGCCTGTGTCTTCAGATTTGGTGGGACAGAGTCATAGAATTGTCCTCCCTCTTCTAACATAGAAGCTCCCTGTCCTAAAAGGGCAGGAAGGTGGGGCACGATCACCCCTCGCCATCCCCAGCCCCTGCTGCCTGCCCCAGAACCACCCCTCCCTCAGCAGGCGCTTTCTGATGCTGCCCCTGTGAGACATGGGGCAGGGACCACTCAGCCAGACAGCAGGACACACGTGCATTGGCTCCCAGGCCCAGGAGGGCTGTCCAAGCGGGCAAGGTTGTTCAAGGCCCCGGCCCCACCTAGTCATTGCCATTGTCCAAGCCATGCCTGCTGACAGGGAGCTGCCATCCCCAGAGCAACCAGGGCCGTGGAGGTGGGGGCGTCGTGAGCAGGGGAGGAGGGCGGGCACCCAGACAGAGGCAGCCCCGGGCAGTGGTTCCAGAACAGCTAGTGGGCAGCTCATGCTGGGCTGGAGATGCTGCTGGGAAGGCAGTTGGGGCCAGAGGGGAAAGACCTATGTGCCAGGCCAGGGAGCTATTCTTCATCTCGTAGGAGTAAAGGGAAGGCTTTGAGCAGGGCAAGGGGGGGAGGGGGTGCCGCATGCCTGGCCCCTTTGGTCTGTGTTATCTGTGCCCAGGCTGATGGCACGCTTTGCCACCCGTGTCTCCGAGCTCTCTCGGGGTCGCTGTGATTCCACCTCATGCTGTGTGGATAGTGGAGCAGTCCCTGTGGGGGGCAGACACCCCACAATGGTCACTGGACACCCATGTGTGCGTGCCCCTTCCTAAGAGCTTGGCACGGACCATCTCACCTCGTCCCTATGGCAGGCCGGGAGGGTCAGTCCTCAAAGGGAGACGTAGAGGGGCTGGCAGTGATTGGTGTCTTTGCAGCCCGGTAAGCCCAGCCCTCCTCCTCTCTGCCACAGGGATCAGCCTGCTCATCCCCCCAGACGCCATCCCCCGCGGGAAGATCTACGAGGTCTACCTCACGCTGCACAAGCCGGAGGACGTGAGGTGTGGGCGTGGGCCCTGCCCGAGGCTGGATGGGTCCCCCTGCCTGCGGTCATTGCTGGGCCTTGTCTGGTCTGGCCTGAGGGGGTTCCAGGGAAGAGCTGCCCTAAGCTCAAACCAGCTCTGCTCCCGACCCCAGGGGCCACTGCCCTGCCCCGTCCCTCCCAGCCCGGGGTGGTCCGTTGATGCCTTTCCCTCCCCACCTGTTTTTCCCCACTTGAGGTTGCCCCTAGCCGGCTGTCAGACCCTGCTGAGTCCCATCGTTAGCTGCGGGCCCCCCGGAGTGCTGCTCACCCGGCCTGTCATCCTCGCGATGGACCACTGCGGGGAGCCTAGCCCCGAGAGCTGGAGCCTGCGCCTCAAGAAGCAGTCCTGCGAGGGCAGCTGGGAGGTGAGCCCCATGCCCGCCCAAGGGAGCCCACCAGGCCTCCGAGCGGAGCCCGGCTTCCCCCCTGGCCCCCGAGCCAGGTCCCTGTCCCCAGGCTGCGGCCGCCCCTCAGAGCTGCATGTGGCAGGAGTTGACCCGTCGGGCCCTACCCGCAGGACGTGTTGCACCTGGGTGAGGAGGCGCCCTCCCACCTCTACTACTGCCAGCTGGAGTCCGGCACCTGCTACGTCTTCACCGAGCAGCTGGGCCGCTTTGCCCTCGTGGGAGAGGCCCTCAGCGTGGCCGCTGCCAAGCGCCTCAAGCTGCTGCTGTTTGCCCCCGTGGCCTGCACCTCCCTGGAGTACAACATCCGCGTCTACTGCCTACAGGACACTCGAGATGCCCTCAAGGTACTGCCCAGCCCCACACGGTGCCCCTGGCCCTGCGGGCTGCGGTACGGGGGCCTCTCCCCGCCCCCAGGCTTCGCTGACCACCTGTGGCACCGCAGGAGGTGGTGCAGCTGGAGAAGCAGCTGGGCGGACAGCTGATCCAGGAGCCTCGCGTCCTGCACTTGAAGGACAGTTACCACAACCTGCGCCTGTCCATCCACGACGTGCCCAGCTCCCTGTGGAAGAGCAAGCTCCTCGTCAGCTACCAGGTGAGGGCGCTCCCAGTGCCTGGACCGGGCCCACCAGCCACGGGCACCCCTCACCCTGCCCCTCTGCGTCCCCCTCAGGAGATCCCCTTCTATCACATCTGGAACGGCACCCAGCAGTACCTGCACTGCACCTTCACCTTGGAGCGCGTCAGCCCCAGCACCAGCGACCTGGCCTGCAAGGTGTGGGTGTGGCAGGTGGAGGGCGACGGGCAGAGCTTCAACATCAACTTCAACATCACCAAGGTGGGCAGGAAGAGCATCGGCACTGCCATAGTGTGCGCCACACCCTCTGCCCACCCGGACACCTCCTCCTAGAGACCAGACACCGCTTGGCCTCCTCCTCCGAGTCTCCAGGGAGAGGGGCAGGTGCAGGCAGGCAGATGCAGACAGATGCAGCGGGGCTGGCTTGGGAAGGGACTGACGAGGATATGGGAGCAGCGGGAAGGAGAGGTGGACCAGCCTGGGCTTCCCTGAGGAAGGACTCAGTCCTGGGCCTCAAAGATCAGTAAGAGTTAGACAGGCAGCCGAAACCGGTTTGGCTCAGTGGTAGAGTGTCGGTCTGCGGACTAAAAGGTCCCAGGTTCGATTCCAGTCAAGGGCATGTACATTGGTTGTGGGCACATCCCCGGTGGGGGGGGGGGGGTGTGCAGGAGGCAGCTGGTCGATGTTTCTCTCTCATCGATGTTTCTCTCTCATCGATGTTTCTAGCTCTCTATCCCTCTCCCTCTCTGTAAAAAATCAATACAATATTTATTTTTTAAAAAGAGACAGGCAGCAGCAAGGGAAGGAAGGGCAGCGTTTCTGGCAGTGGGCACTGAGTTCAAGGAGAGGAACACAGTGAATCCTGAGTGTTCAGCAGAGGCTAAGCGGGGTGGGGCTGGGGGCGGGGTTAAGGGGAGGAGGGGAAGGTCAGGGCCGGTGGGAGGAGGAGGGGAGGAAGACAGCTCCGGGCTCACTGGCTGTGTGGCTGGGCGTCTTTACTCCTGAGCCCCGTGGGGGCCGGGAAGCATGGATGCCACGTGGTGCGTGCCCTGAGGAGGCCTGGGCGCTCCCCCAGGAGGTTGCCGTAGGTCTGGACCAGGGACAGCTCTAACAGTCATCTTCACCCCTCTGCCACCCCCTCCCCCAGGACACAAGATTCATGGAGCTGCTGGCTCTGGAGAGTGAAGGGGGGGTCCCAGCCCTAGTGGGCCCCAGTGCCTTCAAGATCCCCTTCCTCATTCGGCAGAAGATCATTACCAGCCTGGACCCGCCCTGTAGCCGAGGGGCCGACTGGCGGACTCTGGCCCAGAAACTCCACCTGGACAGGTGCATGGGAGATGGGCGGGAGGGGAGGGGTGCAAAGGCCACCTGCAGTCCAGCCTGGCAGGGTAGGGTGGGTGGGGTGGACAGGACCCTCCGTGGGGCCTGTGGCTCATCCGCCAGCCGCCAGGGCATCCAGTATGGTTGGCAGAGGGGTGGGCTGGGGGGCAGGAGGCAGTAGCCTGGGGTGAGGCCAGGCCACTCATGGGCTCCCTTCCTCCCCTTCTCTCCACAGCCATCTCAGCTTCTTTGCCTCCAAGCCCAGCCCCACAGCCATGATCCTCAACCTGTGGGAGGCAAGGCACTTCCCCAACGGCAATCTCAGCCAGCTGGCTGCGGCAGTGGCCGGACTGGGCCAGCCGGACGGCGGCCTCTTCACAGTGTCGGAGGCCGAATGCTGAGGCCAGCCAGGCCCCCAACACCCACACTCTCACCAGCTTTGGGGCCTACCAGGGACAGGCAGAAGCCGGACAGGGCCTCCCCCACACCAGGGAGCTGTGTGGACAGGCCCCTCCTGGTGAACGCTGTCTCTGCACACTGGCCCTTCAGACCTGCCCACGCTCCCGCCCCTCCAGGGCCTGCCAGGCCAGGCCGGCACTGCCCCCTGCCCCCGGGGTTCACGCTGGACAGTGCCAAAGCCAGCCCAGGCCCAGCCCCTGTGTGTGTGTGTGTGTATGTGTGTGGTGCTACCTCTCCCCCCGCCCCGGCCGGGGACCGCGCACGCACAGCATGTGTGCACACACCGGGCTTGGAGCGCCCTGGAGCTCCTGCCTGAGCTGGACCTTATGCAAACATTCCTGTGCCTGCTGGGTAGGGGCACGTCTGAGGGGCCCGGCTCCAAGCCTGTGGGACTGAGGGCCACAGCCGGATGGGGGGCGGCCCCTGGATTCAGGCACACGACCCCCACACGGGCATGTGCCCACGCATGTCTCGTGTGTCATGTCACCGGCTTCCCCCTCCCCGGCACACATGTCATGCTGTACACCTGGAGGCCACTCGCCTCTCTCACGCCCAGTGTCAGTCCACATCTGCCTCTCACATGCTGCCCTTCTCCCACCCACCCAGGGACACCCAAGGCTCCTCCCTGGCCCTCCCCCTCCCCCACCAAGAGGAGCCCTGCCCGACGGGGCGTGTGAATATGCAACGGGAGTCCTGGGCTGGACAATGGCGAGTGTGCGTCCGTGGCGTGCCCGCTCCGGGGCCTGTCGTGTGAAGCTCGTGCCCTGACTCTGTCTTAAGTGCATTCACGCACTTACACTTGGCCTTATGTACACAGCCTTGCCCGGCCGCCGGGGCGCGTAGGGATTTTAGCGGACGTGAATGTAAATAAATTATATATATATTGCTAACCCAAGTGCTGCTTCTCTCGGGGAAGCCAGAACTGGAGGCCGGTGGCCGCAGAGGGGAGTCCTGGGGGGCTGAGCCTGGCTGGGGACCCAGCCCTGGCCCAGCACCGCTGGTTCCTGGAGATTTCTTCAGACACGGGCCTGCTTGGCCAGGCGACAGGCAACGGCAGTGACCAGGGCTGCGCCTTTGCCCGACCCGTCCTCTGACTGCAGGAAGGTGACCGCACAGCGGGGGGCCAGCTCCTGCACGGTGGCCGCCACCAGGCGAGAGAAGCTGTGAGGGGAGGGAGGGGCTGAGGTGAGCCCAGGCCAGCCCGGCCCTACCCAGGCATGCCTCCCACCCAGCCTGGCATCCGGACTCACTGGGGGTGCAGCTTGTAGAGGGTCCCGTCCACTCCCACGGATACACTCAGCTCTTCCAGGCCGCGGTTCTCCCGGATCTTCTCCACCACGGCAGCCACGCCGGCCCCGCAGAGCTGGGCTGCCCGCTGCGACACAGCCTGGCACACCTCCAGGACCATCAGGGCATCGTCCGAGGTCAGGGGAAGCCCCAGGTCCTCGAGGATGGCTCGGACCTGCCGCAGGGCCAGGGTGTCACTGGGGAGAGGATGGAATAGACCACAGAGAGGTAGGGTCTGGCATTAGCTCCCCTCTCCAGTGGCCTCTGTCCTCCTGGGTGGACCTCCCTCCAACCAGCATTCCACTCAGTGAACGGGAAGACCCCTGTGGGTGGTGGGAGGCTCGGCACCTTTCAATCTCAGACAGAAACTTGGTCTTGAAAATGTCCCTGGTCTGAAGGCTCGGGGTCTGCTGACCCCGGAAGAGAACTCCAAGGCTGGTCAAATGCAAGAGGATGTGGCGGACGATCTCCCCCAGGTACATGCCACTGATCATCTTCTCAAACCTGCACGAAAGTGTGTGTGCCCACAGGGTAGGAGCCCCCACCCACTACCATCACCAACGGAAGCCACCATCGCCGCCCCGGCCCGGCCCGGCCCACACCTCTGTTTGCCAGGGTTGATGGATGCCTGGTCCACACGTGCGTCGAAGCAGGTGCTGAGCGTGTCCAGAGAGCCGTCGTCCCCGAAGGCGCCCCACTCCATGTTGATGCACATGCGGCCTAGGTCCCCAGCCACTCCTGCCACGTTCCGCAGCTCCTCCATGTAGCAGGCATTGGTGCCAGTTCCTGCAGGAAGGCCAGACGGAGTAGGAGCCATTTACTAAACCAGACAGGACCCCCTCTGAGCCCTTCCTGCGCCGAGACGGCAAAATGTGGGCTCATATTTTACATCTCCATCTCCCCAGTCACACCTCCGGTCCTGGTCGCCCTTCCTTCCTGACATTCTTCTGCAGCCCCTGCCAGCACCAAGCCCTCTGGGCCTCCACTGCCTCCCCTACCAGCTCCACCATCGGTGCATCTCCCATGCTACCCAGAGTGCTCCTAGAAATTCCACCAGCCATGCCATTCCCCTGGGAGATGTGTGACAGCCCCCCACCATCACACCCCCTCCGCCTGCAGGCGAGACGCCTACAGCTCCCCAAACTGGTCTTCAAGTCTTTGGTCAAACCAGCAGGTGCTGGGCCAAGAGCCGAGGATGGAGACAGGAGTCGGGCCAGAGGGGCCCCAGGGTGGCCAGAGGCGGGGCAATGAGCAGACAACTCAGAGACTGCCCGTATGTGCCTAAACGAAGGTGCGAAGAAGAGCATCCTGGGAGTTCGGATGAATCATCCTGACTAGAGGGTCAGAAAAACCACGGAGAGGAAGTAAGTTGGGGTTTGGCCTTGAAGCCAAGAAGCACAGAAAGGAACAGCATTCCAGGCAGAGGGCAAAGGCATCCCTTTTCCATCCCCAACACCCGGTCAGCTCCAGGCAGGCGGACTCCTTGTGGCCCCACCTTGACTTCCTCCACCCAGGGGTTTATTCCCGTGGCAATTTGGGCACACCCCTCCGAGCGCCTGCCATGCCAGGCTCTATGTTCAAGAAGCTCCCAGTCCCACGAGTGGCTCTCACCCACCTCGTGCTCTAAGAGACTGATGCCTGAGGACCCGTGGAAGTCCTCCTTTCCCACCCAGCCAGATCCTTTCTTTCAAGGCTTTCTTTGCAAGTCCCGCTCATTGTGGGACCCCTTCCTTTCTGACCTCAGCCTGTCGCCCTGGCACAGAGTGTCATGTTTGGCTCTCTCTGACTGCCACGTGCCATTCTGGGCTCAAGCCCTGCCAAATGGTCAGTTGTGAAAAGGCAGGTGTTTTCCCCTTTTATGTGTCTTCCTGTCCCTTCATCCATCCCTCAGCTAGCCACAGGATAGGTGCTTAATAAAGACTTAGAATCTTGGATGACCTGAAGAATGACCTCATAGCTCATTCTCTGTCAATCCCTGGCACCCTCCCAGCTCCGAGCACTGAGTGTGCCATGAATTAGCATCAGGCAGTAGGGGCACAAAAGAGCAAGGCCCTCCTCACCAACAATAAGGCCGATCTCACAACGGGGGTCGTCATAGCCACAGGACATCATGGTTCCCACTGTGTCATTGACAATGGCAACGACATTCAGCTCCATTGCCTGCAAAACAAAGATGATGCTAGTTGCTGGGCAACATGGTCGTCACGGCAACTAGTGCTGGACCCAGAGGTCTCTACTGCAGAGGGTCCCCTCTTAGGAAGCAAGAGACCCCTTTTGCTCCCTTCAAGGCCTGCCACAGTCCCAAAGCACGCCTGGAGGCAGACTCCCTACCTGTTTACGCTCAAGGGCTTCCCGCAGCAGACACACGACATCTTGGCCCTCACAGTCTGATGCTTTGAAACCCTTTGTCCAGTTCAGGAGGATGCCCTGGGGTGGGACCAAGGCAGGGGATCCCTTGGAATCTCACTTGGCCTCCCCAAACCCTGCATTTTCCCCAGCATACCATGTCCCCCTCTGTAAGCAGCATCCCAGGCCCACTCTGCCCATACAGTGGAGGGCCTTGCCCTCTGCCCCCTGAAGCCTTCCAGTATGAAGAAACCTATTAACGTCCAACCTGCGTTAGTACCAGAATGCTCAGATGGTCTCGGGGTTTGGCCATTTTAAGATGGTTGCCCAGAAGGAATGGCCCTTTGTGATTGGAGGGAGCTTGTCAAATGGGTGCCGTGGTGAGAAAGGGGAGGACAAGGAAGGCTCAGCAGGTCCATCCACATGGCAGCAGATCCTGCTCTTCTGAAAAGCCAGGGTCGCTCGAGAGAAGGAACTCTCGGAGCTGGGACAGAGCCGTGTCATTGGGAGATTCACACATGTGTTCCAGATGTGAGTGAAGGACGAATAGGAAAGCCAGAACCCAGACATGTGGGCAGGATGGAAGGGGACAAGACAGCTAAGCATTTACTGTGAGAAATTGGCCTTAAATTGTGAAGTTAGTGACGGGGGCTTGGCTTTTCTTGGTGTGCTTCTCTGGGGGGAGGGGGGGGCAGGAGAAAATGACTGCTCTGCCCATGGAGAAGCATGGAGAGCAGGTGTGCAAATCTTTAGGGCAGGAGATTAGAAATACTAACCAACACTCCCCCCAGTAATATTGTCTTATCCTTTCCCTGTGTGACCACAGCTGGGGTGTTCTGTGCTCATTGTCCCAAAGCCAGAAACCAGGAAGAGTGAATGAGAGGGAGGCCAGTTTGGGGGAGACCAGGTCATGAGGATTAGCAAAGCTCACATGCTCCCAGATAAGACAAAGAACCCTGGCCTGGGGAAGGGGGTGGGGCAGGCAGAGCGAGGTTCCGGATGGCCTCCTGAGGGTGGTGCTCTGTGCCCTCCACACTGGGATTTGGGTGGAGACACAGGATTTGGGTGGTCTGAGCGGAGAGGCCTCTGCCCCCCTTCCCCAGGGAGGTGTGAGGACCCGAGAGAGGAAGTAGTAGCCCCCTACCTCTTCCCAGTGGGGGCCTGGGTGTCTCCCCAGGAGTTTCCCTTTTGTGCCTGCACATCATTACAGTGAAGCACGATCGCTGTGCAGCCAAGAGGGGCCCCTCGGGGGAAGAGGGTCTCCAAATTGATCAACATTAAGTGTTCACCCCTCCAAAGAGTTTAGTTCAGTGATAGAAGATGAATAGGATCATGTTTCTTGCACGCCTGCTTTTGCATCGAGTCCCACCTGCTTCTCACACTTTATAAGAAATAGTCAAAAGGCGCCAGCTGCTCAGCCTGGAGCGAGAGCCCAGCCGAGAGATGCAGCGGCCATGCGGGGAGGGGCAGGCGGAGCACAGAGGCACACATCTGGGAGGTCAGGGCTGGAGCAGAGGGCGACAGCCACGCAAGGGCTGGTTGGAGCCGAGGAGGGAGAGCCGCTCAGACACGCAGGTAGGGCAGGACACAGGGGGCACCTTCAGGGACAGGGCACCCTTCATCATAGCAGTTTTCCATACAAGCTGGGATGTTGGGGGGCGGGGGGGTGGGGGGGGAAACTGCTGAAAACCTGGACTAGCGGTCCAGGAGGAGCTTTGCATGACAGGCCTCAGAGTGTGCATGAAAAGTCTGGCGTTCTTGTCGAAGGGTGCGCGGAGGTGTGTGCTGAGAGCCAGCCCAGTTAGGCGCCCATGCCAACCAGGCACGGAGAGGGATGCTGGCAAGGCCGGGAAGGGGAGAGAGAGCAAAGGACCCGTGTGGGCACAGCCCCTTTGAGCGCCTGCAGCCAACGCTGCTCCCTGCGCGCCTTGGCCAGACACCAGTGCGTGGTCAGCCCGGATCTGGGCCTGCACTGCTCCCAAGTGCCCACACCTTCCCCTGGCTCCACTCTCCTGCTGATCGGCAGCCCCCGGGGAGCCTCTTCGTGACCCTGGGTTCCAGGCACTTTACCACTTCCACCCATTTGGACACACTACGTTAGGGAAACTGAGGCCGGGTGGAGGCTCAGCCCAGGGGTGCCTCTGCCTGCCCTCCCCAGTCCTCTCCTGCGATGCCGCGAAGGGCGTGTGGGTGGGGAGCCCCGGGAATGCCTTCCCCCAGCCCGCCCTCCTCACCTGGTCCAGGCCAAGCTGCCTGC